TCCCTGCTCTCACACAGACTTCCTGAGTGACCTTAGGCAAGTCTCTTAGTCTCTCTATGCCTTGGTTTCCCATCTGTAAAATGGGGATAATAGCATTGCCTAATCTCACACAGTGCTGCAAGTACAACTGGATGACATTTTTCAGACTTTTTGTTGGTGAAAAATGCAGATTCAGCAACACCAAAATCTTTCACAAATTCTTGTTGGGTTCACCCAGTTGTTCGTTTAGGGGTGGGGAATGTGGAGGGTCAACAAACCCTCCCCCAACAACCCCTAAACATTCCAAAATATTACAAATGTTTCATTCTGACATTTTCAAAATTAAACGTTTTGATTTTTTTGGTTTGAAACATCTTTTTGTTTCAAACTTTCCTTTGATTTTATTTAAATATAGTTTAAAAAGGGTCCAAATAGACACAAAACTGTTCAGTTTTATCAAAATGAAGCTTTTTTTTTAACCCGAAACAATTTTTTCCATCTGTTTGTAATTGCCAACACACCAAAGAATCCATTAGTCACCCAGCTGTAGCTGTGAGGACTAATATGTTAACGATTGTGAAGCACTCAGATACTACAGTAATGTGGCCATAAGTACCTTAGATTGCCATCCGATCAGTTCAGGAGTATACAGATTATACTTTCAGAGGAAGGATGGTCTAATGGTTAAAGTATACAACTGGGAGTCAGTAAATACCAAGTGCATTCCTACTGCTTCTTCGTTCTTCCTGCATGGCCTAAATGACTTGCCCAGGGTGAAATCACATACCTGAAAATAGGCACCTAAATTCACTTGAGAAAAAATCCCAGAGATCTTTCCATGCACCCTCATAAATATTTCTAAGAAAAAATGAATACAAATAAAGCCCTTCCAGGATTATACTAAACCCTCATCACATAGAATCTTCCCATATGTTTCAGCAAACAACTCTCTAGATCAGTGGTTGTCACCCATGGGTCCAGGGTCCCCTGGGGGACTGTTAGCAGGTTTCAGGGGAACCACCAAGCAGGGCCAACATTAGACTCACTGTGACCTAGGGTAGAAAGCCTAAGCCCCACCACATGGGGCTGAAGCCCCGGGCTCTGAGGCCTACCACTCAGGGCTGAAGCCGAAGCCTGAGTAATGTAGCTTTGTAGGGGCCCCTGTGGCATGGGGCCCCAGGCAATTGCCTGGATTGTTACCCCTAAGCTCCAACCTTGGCTTTTATATTCAGAAAACCAGTTGTTGTGGCACAGGTGGGCCGTGGAGTTTTTATTGCATGACTGGGGGAGCCTCAGAAAGAAAAGGGTGAGAACCCCTGCCCTTGATCCATCCATTTCAGCCTGATAACTTGCTGTGACTTTACCACTAAAGCACAAGTTCCCTTAGAAGTGCTTTGGATGCTTTGAACTGTCACCTTCCACTGCTTAACATTGCTGATCCACTACCCCGCTCCGCTTTGAACTAGCACATCTAACTATAATCACTAGCCACCTTTCTCCCTTTTATTGGTAACATATTTCCCTATTAATTGTGTATGTTCCGTTTTAAAGACTGGCATCCGACTTTTCTTATGTAGCTCAGTGAGGAATATTTCTGTATCATGGGCAATTTCTGTGATATGTTTATGCCTTGCTGGTTATTGTAAAAATGCAAGATGTATCATGTACTGCTGAAAATCCGGCCAGCACTTTGCAGTTTTTAACATTGTTCCTTATCGTACAGTTAAAATAAATGTACCAGATACCAGCTTTATTACTCCTATTAGGTGGTCGAATGGCTTGATGATCAGGATATTAAAGGGAAAGTACCACTTCTCAGCCCCATCGAGCCCCAACACTGAGCAACACCTAAAGATTCTTCAGAGCAGCCAAAATGTATGAAGCTGAACTAGGGGCTGAATGAAGGCTCATGGGTCAGTTTCTGGCAGAGAGGATCTAAGAAGTGAGTAGCAGCAACAGGGAAGGGAGAAGAGCGCTCCCACTACAGCCACTTTCCACTTCCACTTTTCACTAAAAATCCTACAGCCGGGGCAGAGGATGCTTCCTAACAGTTGGGGGAGGGGGGGAGCACTGTGGGTTTCAAAGCATTGTTTTAAGGAAGAATGAAATGGAAACTACACGTGCCCTGATTCTGTAAACACTTGCTTAACTTTCAGTTGCCCCATTGACTTGCCAGACGTGTCTGAAAGAATGGGGCAGTAGAGACTGTGACAACACTGATTGTCCAAGGCTGCATTCATATTGTCTGGCTGGGCTTTTTTGATGACATCAGAGCTTTGAACTAACCGCCAACTATGCACAGCTGAGATCCCAGCAGAGAAACACACACCCAGTCCCTTTCCTGTTATGTTCAGTGCATGAGGAAGATGTGGGGAGCGAATGTGGAACAAAGATAAGGCACCCGGTAAGGATAATCAGGCTTTTGACACAGTCCCACGTGACATTCTTATAAGCAAACTAAGGAAATATGGTCTAGATGAATTTACAGTTGGGAGGAAAACTGGTTGAAAGACCATTCTCAAAGAATAATTATCAATAGTTTGCTGTCAAACTTTGGTGATATAGCTTGTGGAGTGCTTCAATGGATCTGTTGTGGGTCTGGTCCTAGTCAACATTTTCATTAATGACTTGGATAGTAGCGGGAAGAGCGTGCTTATAAAATTTGCAGATGATACCAAGCTGGGAGGGGTTGCAAGCACTTTGGAGGACATGATCAGATTAGAATTCATAATGACCTGGACAAATTGTAGAATTGGTCTGAAATCAACAAGATGAAATTCAGTAAGACAAGTGCAAAGTACTTCACTTAGGAAGGAAAAATCAGATACTCAACTTCAAAATGGGGAATAACGTCTAGGCAGTAATACTGCTGAAAAGGATCTGGGGTTGTGGTGCATCACAAACTGAATATGTGCCAACATTGTGAAGCAGATGCACAAAAGACGAATATAATTCTGAGGTAATCATCCTGTATTAACAGGAGTGTGGTATACTCAGCACTTGTGAGGCCTCAGTTGGGGTATTGTCCAGTTTTGTCGCCACACTTTAAGTAAGATGAGGACAAATTGGAGACAGTCCAGAGGAGAGCAACAAAAATGATAAAAAGTTTAGAAAACCTGACTATGGGTAAAAGTTTAAAAAACAGGCATGTTTAGTCTTGAGCAACCAAGACCTGAGCAGGGACCTGATAACAGTCTCTGTGTATATAATGTCTTCTGCAGTTTCCACAGTATGCATCCGATGAAGTGAGCTGTAGTTCACGAAAGCTTATGCTCAGATAAATTGGTTAGTCTCTAAGGTGCCACAAGTACTCCTTTTCTTTTTGCGAATACAGACTAACACGGCTGTTACTCTGAAACCATTCAAATATGTTAAGGGCTGTTGTAAAAAGGACAGTTACTAACTATTCTCCATGTCCACTGAAGGTAGGACAAGAAGTAATCGGCTTACTCTGCAGCAAGGGAGATTTAGGTTAAATATAAGGGAAAACTTTCTAACTCTAAGGAAAGTTAAGCTTTGGAATAAGGCTTCCAAGGGAGGTCGTGGAACCTCCATCATTTCAGGGTTTTAAGAACAGGTTGGACAAACATCTGTCATGGATGGTCTAGGTTTACTTGGTTATGCCTCAGCACAGAGGGATGGACTAGATGACATCTTGAGGTCCCTTCCAGCCCTGCCTTTCTCTGATTCTATGGGAGGGGAAGGGTAGTTATGGACTTCGTTAGGTACTGTGCATTCTCAGCAACTCTGAAAATCAGGCCATCATCCTGGGGCTTGATCCAAACCCCATTGAAGTCACTGGAAAGAGTCCCATTTGGACTCCTATCAGTGCCTAAAACTGACATAAATGGCTAACTTTAGGCAGCCGTTAGATTATTTTGGCCTATAGTCTTGGTTAGGAAGAATAATCAGACTTCCAGTGACTCCGGCTAAACGGCTTTGGTACTGAAATTCAGGGGATTCCTATGCCGCAAGATTCTTCATGTCACTTCACCCACATTTGTAGGTAAGATTTCAGGCTTTCTGTGGTGTTTCAGCCCAGCTGCACTCATACTGCACTCTTTTATTTCATATTTTCTCTCTTCATTTTCCTGAAACCACTTTTGAATTATCTGAAAAAAACCCCACAGTTGGATTTAATGGCCATTAGTGAGGATGAGTGTTGGATGTCTTGGAAACAGGGACCGGGAACTCTGACTTCACAGGTGGGGGAATCAGGATAAAGGAAACAGACAGAATACTTGGGCCTGCAGCAAGGAAACTGCAAGACCCCTCCCTTGTAACTGCTGTAGGGATAAGAGCAGTAGTCAGCAGGCCACAGAAGGAATCATAAGACATGTGGGGCACTAGATTAGCTTGCATAGTACTATTAACTATCACTATGTATTACTAAAATCAAGGTTATGTAGACATAGGCTTTCCTTTGAACCGGTCCAGAGTCTAGATAAACCCTGCCGAAATTTCTAATTGCTATTCATCCAGAAAAAAGTTGCTTGGCAGTGTGTAACCTAGAGTGATGTGTTTTAGGCTCCTCAGAGAGCGTGAATGGTGGGAATACCGGCCGCTGCCCTCCTGAGCTCCGAAGTGCCGGGCAGGAACAGACAAAATCTCCCCAAGCACCATTGGCTCTAGTGGTGGTAGCAGGGAAGTGTCATCCATTGGTCCCAGTGTGTAGGATGACCAACAGGTGCCATGGGGACAGGAGCTGTCACACTTAGTGGATGAACGGAAATAGCTATGAACTTGAAGCAGAACAAGCAAGAGAAGAAGAAAAAATCTTTTTAGGGTAAACCTGCTGAGTGCAGAGGTTGGGAACAAAGATGTATCAGACACACAGTACACATGGAAAAAAGCTCTTCTCTATGGTCTGCTGGAAAATACAGCCCAGTCACACAGCACCTGAGAGCAGACAGAAGATCTCACTGCTTGGGTCTCAGCACACCAAACCCACAAACAACACAGCTCCTTACTGTCATAGCCAAGCTCTTTTTCACCCATCCAGCAGAACAACACCAAAGCTCACCACTCAGATTGTGTTTCCTTCCCCTGTTCTTCTCAGGAAGAGCAAGACGCTCTTCCACAGCAGAAAGTAACTGCCACAGAACAGCACGCTCTGCCAGTTTCACACTCAGAAAGAAACACTACAGCTCTTCATTGCAGTTAGCAAAACCAGCCTTTCACAGACACCCTTCTCCAGTCACCAACTAGAGAAATGACCCCTGAAAGCATAGTCTTAACCAACACCCACCCTGCCAGTCACAGACCATTCTGGCGTGTTGCCTTCTAACTGGTGGTTGCTACAATTTGGCCTTCACGAGACAGAGAGCACTACGAGAAGCCTCACGTGAGCAGAACCTGGCTCTCAACTCTGCCCTCCGTGGCCCCCTTCCATAGGCTGCCTCTCAAAGCAAAGCGGCTCAAAGCAGCCATCCCCTTTCATTTGCATAAACTGAACACACAGACAGGCCACTCCACCAATCTTCTCCCTGCTCCCGTCTCTGCAACGCCTAAGACAACAATCCTCTAGCTGGCTGAACCAAGAGCTCTCTAGAAACGACAGCCTATGCAGTTTTGGACACCCAGAGCATGTTTCTTTGGCACCAGTGATCACAAGGGAGATTGTCAGCAGTGGGGAGCCAGGCTCTCCAACGGGTGGCATTTCCTGAACCTGACTGCCAGTCTCACCATTCTCCAGGGAGCAGGAACTCCCACTTTTTTCTGGAAAGCGCTCCAGAAGCTTTGCCTGAAAAACAAGTATATATAGCCATAGGCTTTCCTCTGAACCAAACCAGAGCCGAGATCAGGGATGGGGAACCTATGGCTTTTGGGCCGCATCGAGCCCGCTGCTTCATTTCTTCCAGCCCGCAACAAGTCTCTGCACTGCAGGTTGAAAGCCCCGAGCCTTGGTCCCCCCTCCATCCCCCACGGGACTGGATCTGCGAGCACTGGCTCACTGGCATGTCCCTGCGGCCCCTAGGCGGAGGGTGATCAGGGAAGCTCCGGATGCTGCCCCCACCAGCTCCGCAGCTCCCACTAGCCAGGAACCACGGCCAATGGGAGCTACAGGGGCAGCACCTGAGGTACGGGCAGTGCGCACCACGCCAAGCTCCCCTGGCCTCTCCACCTAGAGGCCGGACATGCTGGCTGCTTCCAGGAGAAGAGCAGCACGGAGCCAGGGCAGGCAGGGAGCCTGCCTTAGCCTTGCTGTGCCGCTGACTGGGAGCCACCCGGGGTAAGCATTGAACCTCCTCCCACACCCCAACCCCCTACCCCAGGTCTGAACCCCCTCCTGCACCCTAACTCCCTCTCAAAGCCCGCACTCCAACCCCCTGCCCCAGACTTGAGCCCCCTTCCACACCCCTAACACTTTTGCTCTAGTCTGGAGCCCCCTCCTGCATCCAAAACCCCTCATCCCCAGCCCTACTCAGAGCCCACACCCCCCAGCCATGGCCCTCCCACTCCCCAATCTCCTGTCCCAGCCTGGAGCCACCTCCCACTCCCAGAATGCCTCATTTTGGCCCCACTCCAGAGCCCACACCCCCAGCCGGGGCCCTCCAATCCTCCCACACCCTAACCCCCTACCCCAGCCCGGAGCCACCTCTCGCTCCCAGAATGCCTCATTTCTGACCCCATTCCACAGCCTAGGGGAACCCCCTAACCTCTGCCCATCCCCCGCGGGCTGTGTGTGGCTCCTGACTGATCTTTTCTGTGGGTCATTGGCCCCTGATAGAAAAAAGGTTCCCCACCCCATGGCTAGATAAATCCCGTCAAAATGTCTAATTGCTATTCACCTGGAAGAAAGTCACTTGGCAGTGTGTTACCTCGAGTTGTGATGTTTTCCAGGTTCCTCACAGAGTGTGAATGGTGGGAATACTAGCCACTGTCCTCCTCATATCCAAAATGTCAGGCAGGAACATACAAAATCTTCCCAAGCAGCAGTGGCTCTGCTGGTGTTAGCAGGGAAGTATCATCCATTCGTCCCAGTGTGCAGGACAATCGACAGGTGCCATGGGGTCAGACTTAGTGGAGGAACAGAAATAGCTGTAAAGATGAAGCAGAACAAGCAAGAGAAGAAAGAATCTTTTTATGGTAAACCTGCTGACTGCATAGGTTGGGAACAAAGATGTAACAGACACACAGTACAGTCAAAGACAGCCCTTCTTCAAAGCCTGCAGAAAAGCACAGCCTAGTCACAGGGCAACTGAAAACTGATGAAGCATTTCACTGCTGAGGGCTCAGTACACCAAACCCACAAGCAGCATAGCTCTCCAAAGTCACACCCAACAGGACAAGTTCAAAGCTAACCACTCAGATTGTATTTCCTTCCCCTGCTCTGCTCAGGAAGAGCAAGACACTCTTCCACAGCAGAAAGCAACTGCCCCAGAACAGCACTCTCAGCCATTGTCATGCTCAGAAAAAAACACTACAGCTCCTCATTGTGGTTAGCAAGACAGGCTTTTACAGCCACCCTTCTCCAGTCACCAACTAGAGAAATGACCCCTGAAAGCATAGCCTTAACCAACACCCACCCTGCCAGTCACAGACCGTTCCGGCACATTCTCCTCTACCTGCTGGTTGCTACAGTTTGGCCTTCACGAGACAGAGAGCACTACGAGAAGCCCCACGTGAGCAGATCCTGGCTCTCAACTCTGCCCTCCATGGCCCCCTTCTATATCCTGCCCATCAAAGCAAAGCTGCTCCCCTTTCATTTGCATAAACTGAAGACACAGCCAGGCCACTCCACCAATCTTCTCCCTGCTCCCTTCTCTGCAATGCCTAAGACAACAACCCTCTAGCTGGCTGAGCCAAGAGCTCTCTAGAAACGACAGCCTATGCAGTTTTGGACACCCAGAGCATGTTTCTTTGGCACCAGTGATGAAAATGGAGCAAGTGAGCAGTGGGGAGCCAGGCTCCCCAAAGGGGTATTTCCTGAAGCTGAAGGCCAGTCTCACCATTCTCCTAGGAGCAGGAGCTCAAGCTCCCAGTTTTTCTGGAAACCATCCCAGAAGCTTTGACTTAAAAGGTAAGCACTGATACTGTTTTGCAGTTAACCAACCCTGCCTGGGCTGTCTGCAGGACTGAACACCAGACTTCTTCCATAGTACTTAGGAGCCTCTAATGCTTGAGCTAAAGGACAGAGTCTCCTAGCTAGCGGCTTTAGCAGACTCAGGCACTGGAGTGGGATGAAGACCCACCCTTGCACAGTGATGCAGAAGAGGTCCCCATTGGCACGCTCCAAGCCTAATATTCAGCTTTTTTTTTAAAGGAGAAATTATTTGGCTGAACATCTCAGCTGAGCCATGCTTTACTGGGCCTCTATGTTCAGGTCTGCTGTTTTGTCACTGCAGCTCATTTACCCAGAACAGCTCAGCTCAGAAGTAGCATATGATCTGCGGCAAGATTGGTCTTTCCACTCCATTTCCCAGGTGGGCTGCCTCATGCACAAAGGGTCAGGTGACTTGAGTGAATCGTCACTGGCTTGTTTGGGATCAAAGAGCCCTGGATTCATCTGGTTCCCCCTCCTTTTCTCCCTCTGTGCTGCTACAGATTAATAGTGAATCACTGGACCCATGGGATCCAGGTCCAGCTTAATGAAAAAGCCAGTGAAGAGTGAAGGGAGCAGTGTGTTCCACAAGTAACTGCTGCTGGCCAGGTACCTACTGCTGAATTGGGACCCAAGAAAGGGCTGGAGGAGGAGAAAAAAGTCACTCCCACCTACTTATGTCAGGGAGGAAGGGAGAAACAGTAGGTGGAGGTCCTCTCAGCTGTCAAGCATGGTCCCTGTGGAGAATGCTGAGCAGGGGATAGTCTGTCCACAGGGAGCTGAGTTACATGGGCTTGCTGGCTGGTTAGAAAGTCATGGCACCAGTTGGTGATAGGAGGACAAACTTGTCAATCAGTGTCAAGGTTGCCAGCCTGAGAAAAGGAGGAGAAGTCTGTTGGAGGAGTGACAGTAGGACCCCTGATATCCATATTGGAACCACGCTCCAATTAACTTTCACCTGAGCCTGTATTTATCAGACATCATGGCTGACAGACTTAGGCTATGTCTATGCTACCACAGTAAGTCGATCTATGCTACACAACTCCAGCTACGTGAATAACGTAGCTGGAGTCAGCGTACCTTAGGTCGAGTTACCTCGGGGTCTACACCGTGCGGGGTTGACGGGAGAAAATCTTGCCTTACTCTTCTCGTCGGGGGTACAATACAAGGGTTGACAGGAGAGCAATCTTGGTGGGTGTTTACTAGACCCGCTAAATCGACCTCTGGTGGATCGATCTCAAAGCGTCAATCCACGCTGTAGTGTAGAGCTGCCCTGAGTATTGCAATACTCAGGGCAGCTCTACACTACAGTACCTAGAGCAATGGTGTGGAAGTCTGAACCTGGCTTAGCCAGACACAATGGGTGGCCTGGGGCTGATCACTTAATTTCTCTGGTATTCAGTCACACCCTATGTGAAATGGAGGTAGCAAGCTTTGCCACATCCCTGGGGCATAGTTAATCCATTTTTAAAGCACTTTAACACCTCCCATCCAGAGACCTCAAAGTATTATGAGTCTTCCCCTTGTTTACTAAGCTGCATATTAGAAGCTTTGGAGAGCTTGATATTGAGTTTTTCAATAAAGTTGTAATGAACAGACTATGGCCAGAGAAGGGCTGGGAGTGGAATACCCTGAGGACAGGATAACTTCAGAATTATGTCATCACTATATGTGCTGAGTAGAAACCACAGGATCCTCTTAAACCAACTGATGAGCAAACCCTCACAGGTTTAATGTTTTGGTTTAGTGTGGATAAGACTCCCCAGGTTTGGAAGAAGAAGATTATCAATCAGAACCTATGAAGAAGAAGGCCCTGAGGCTTATATATAAGAAGGAAATTTGATCTACTCTCTGCACAGACTGCTTGGTAAATTGCTTATCCTCTCTGTGCCTTCATTTCCTAACATGTAACATGGGGATAATGATACTTGCTTATGCCAAAAGGGTGTTGTGAGGGTAAATGGATTGGTGTTTGCAAAGCACGATGAGATCTTCAGAGAGAAGTTCAAAATATTATTAAAATGTAGATGCTTATCTGAACTAGCAGAACCTATGAAAATTTGGGCCAGAAATTGCCCAGAAACCTGCTTTTACAGGTATTGCCTACTTCTAGAACTACTTCAAAACGAGCTCTCTTTCAGTGGCATTGTGAATCTTCCTTCAGGTCCTTTCTGGAACATATAAATAGAGACGGCCTGGCAATGAAAAGAAAAACTGTTTGAATTTATCACAATCTTCAAAGTTCAGTGTGAGCTTGCATCATTCTGGTGTTGGGAAATAGTGTGCTTCTTATGAAAGCCAAAACCACTTCTCCCATCCCCACTGATCATCCACCCTCAGTCCAGACTAACTATACCAGAGGTCATTGCTCGGTTACATTCAATTCTGAGGCATACCCCTTTTGTGTTAAAATATTCTGGCCTATTTATAAAAGGAATTGTCATAATGGTTCCTTCTAGACTTGAAATCTGTATCTAGATTTGAGAGAAATCTGTGCAGCAACACTGAAAAAGATCTCGTTGCTGAACGAAGAAATTTGGGTTCAATCCAATACCCAGTGAGAGAGACTCCCAATGGAAAAAAGAAAAGGAGGACTTGTGGCACCTTAGAGACTAACAAATTTATTTGAGCATAAGCTTTCGTGAGCTACAGCTCACTTCATCGGATGCATGCTTATACTCAAATAAATTTGTTAGTCTCTATGGTGCCACAAGTCCTCCTTTTCTTTTTGCGGATACAGTCTAACACGGTTGCTACTCTGAAATCTCCCAATGGAAAGACTCTCATTGACTTCAGTGGGCACTGGATCAGGGTCTTGAAATCTAAACTGAACAGACAATAGATGATAAATAACTATAAGAATTATAAAAACTCTCTCTCTCATGTGTGTATATTATACATGTATATATTATATATGTATTTATGTGTATATATTATAATATATAATATTGATTTCAGTAGGCACTGGATCAGCCTCTTGAAAACTAAATTCAACAGACAATATATGAAAAATAATTATAACTATAATTATATATATATAGAAATAGTTATTTATCATATATTATCTGTTGAATTTAGTTTTCAAGAGGCTGATCCAATGCCTACTGAAGTCAATATATACATAACAATACACATTAGACCCATATAATGCACAGGCTGAAAGCACAATGAAAAAGCAGTGCACATTTATTTTTTCATCTGCCTTTGGTGGATTATGGCTGGAAGAAATAGTTTTCGAAGGGATTTGAAAGAACAACCAATCACATTGCTGGGTACTATATAATTCTCAGGAGTACTATTCTGGCAGGTGGTATATCCAGGAATGATGAAAATCAGGATGAAAGTTGGATGAGGGATCAGGTGGGCACACTAAGAACAATTGTCTCCAAGTATCTCAGAATCTTCTGGATCTGGATGTACCTGCTGAGCAGAAACACCTGTTCTACCATCTCTAGTCTGAGAAACTCCTGGCGGCTTTGACTAGTAAGGCATACAGTCTTGCTGTAGCTCATGAAAACTAATGCTCAAATAAATGTGTTAGTCTCTAAGGTGCCACAAGTCCTCCTTTTCTTTTTGCGAATACAGACTAACACGGCTGCTACTCTGAAACCAGTCTTGTAAACAGTGCAGTTAAGCAATTAATATAAATTGTGAGGTGAAATGGGTTCAGAAGTTTCCCTCTACAGGCATCCCTATAAATGTGCTGTTTTGTAAATTACCAGCTTCCTTAACCAAGTTTCAGGGGCTGAGACTCAGACCTCAACATTAACTCATGGTGATACATCGCCACCCTGTGGTCATTTAAGGGAAAGCAAAGATATAAAGACGGCCTTGTGATACTGAAGCCAACTGAAAGCAGAAAAGCAGGGAACTGATTTTAAGATGTTTCAGATATTTGTCTTAAACGATCACATGGAGCGGTTGATTATTTCATACTTGGGGTTATTCCTGAATTTCAGTGCTGTGGTCACCGATAATGTTTTACTCATTGTTTGTGTTGCAGTACTGTAGCACACAGGAGTTCCAGTCCTGGATCAAGACTGATAGACGTAGTAATGAATTCTCTAGATGGTGCATGCTAGGATGGGACAGATGCTGGTTCCAGCAGTGTCACTGGTGTGATGCACATGGGAGCTGCCCTGTCCAAGTGGGTAGTGCAGCTTCATTCACCTAGAAAGGCACTGAGTGGGGCTGGTTCACCCTGGTGCAGATGCCTAATGCTTACAAGTAACACCTACCCTCTCCACTTCCCCAGAGGTGGAGTTTATAACCATTCAAGCAAACTTCCATATATGGCTTCCATGCCCTTGGGGGATGATGTCCAGGGTGGCTAGGGGTTGCGTTCCTGTCAGCCATGGAAGCTCTGAATGGGTCATGAAGGTTGAAGAGCTATGCCACAGTGGACAGCTCTGGTAGATGGTGGTGAGGAGAGGAAAAGGCACATGTTTACAGAGATAGATAGAAAGTCACCT